TTCTCTTCTCTTCTCGTTTCTTTAATTTTTTTATAAAGTTTAGTTTTTATTTATTTATATATAAATATAAATTAACAAAATAAAACTAAACTTTATAAAAAAATTAAAGAAACGAGAAGAGAAGAGAAGAAAAAGTTGGACAAATATTAAAAAAAAAAAAAAAGGTACTGAAAATTTATTAAAAAAGATTCCGGTTGTGATTGTTTTTAAGCGATAAAAATTAGAGACAGTCGCTGAAGGTTTTGTTTTCTCGGGTGTTGTTCACCTTGATTAACTTTCGCTTAAAACACACCACACATATACAAATGGCTGTGCCCTTTTATTTGCCGGAGGGTGGTGCTGACGATACAGTCGCGTCTGCTGCAGGCTTAGCATCCGATGGCACTGGCAGTACCTCCTCATCTTCGCAGTCATCACCCAATACCACTTCATCAGCTACTCAGACACCAATCCAAAGTCCCCTGGTGCCCGGTGATTTGGTAATGGCATTTTGTGAGGCTTTTTATCGTTACTCTATCAATAGTGGTAAGTTCTTTCATTCTTTCTACCTTTCATTTGCCTATCTGTTTGCCTATAACTTTGTTTTCATAAAGGAACTTTCTCATCTTACCAACAATTCAATAAAATAATCCTTAATTTATTCGTTGTATGATCGTTCTTTGTTACAACGAACTGATTTCCTTAATTATGGAATTTTCTTTCTACCTTTCCTTTTGCCTGCATAGTGGGTGTAGGAGATTGTTTTTTTTTTTTTTTTTTTTTCGTTATGTCATTTGCTTCTTTTTAACACTCGCAAAGAGCATTGCCAGCTAATCTGAAAAATCAAATTTCTCTCAATGACGTTTCTGTTCTTGTACGTCTATCATTTGGTGAAATACCTGGAATCCTTCTTTCTTTCAAATTATTTGAATCAAAATACTTAAAAGCAACTAACTAATTTCTAATTTAGGTAATTAATGTGCATATTCGATATTTCTTAAATCTGGGATGTGATATATATGATATATGTCGTATATTAGTTGACCTAATTTCCAATTTGTCAAATTATTATATAAGACGTTTTCTAAGGGACAATATATTGATCAATTAAATATATGTATTTGTCTATATAAAAAAAGTCTTAAGCCTTCCGTCAGAGTCCCTTACAATCTTTTCAACCACTTTATGCTCCTATACATTGTGGTTGGGTGTAACTAACTAACGTTTCTCCTGAATTTCTCCTTTCGCTCAATACTCTTTAAGCTATCACTATTTGTCCGATGTCTTTCGTTTTCCGCAGCACCAAAAACATGTTTATGATATTTCACAACATTTTGAAATATTTCATATCCATTTATGCTTAAAATAGCTTACTGTTCGTATATTCAGCACTCAGCTGAGCAAATCAGCTGTTTATTTGAAGAATGCTGCAAACGAAGCCGTTTTACTGATAAAAAAAAAAAAACGCCGTTTCATCAACTGTTATTTTGTACATTCAGGATGCTACTAACGATAAATGGCTGCACACGAACACTATATATGAGGACGGAACGATGATATTAACTGATGATCAATAGTTTTGTTTGCGTATTTGAATGGTTCCAAGCCAAGCAAAGCGAGAAGATTTTTTTTGTTTTTTTTAAAACAGCTTTTAATATGGACAGTATAAGCGATTAATTTATCTGCTTCAATTTGACTTCTTGATAAAAGTGAGTTGATCTGGGTTCGTTTGCTAAACTTCAGTTCTGTTTTCTGTAATAAATGAAATAAGCTCATTGAATGGCCCTCTGCCTATTCTAAAGTAGTTCATAACTTTTCAATTGTAAAAGACTCATGTCTGCACAAAACGCTCATGTCTAAGAAAAAACCTTTAGAGGAGTAAAAAACGATTGAAGATGATTGGAGATTGGATCCGATAATTTTTGTACGACATTTAAGAGAACTGAAAAAGCTCGCAGAAACTAACTTTTCAACTCCTACAAAGGATTTAAAGCGTACTATATGTAAAATTCAATGGAATATTCGTAATTTAGTTACCCTACCTTCTCAAAGTTGGCTGAGCTTTACGAACGAGATTAGTGGAACTTGAAAAAAGCTATCAGTTTAATAATATTAAGGATATCGGATTTCTCGAATAACTGCCTATCTCGATCTTGATTGATGTCAACGAAACAATGCTACATGTATGTACACAAGTTAGAATACTTTATTCTGAAAGTAACTCAAGTAACATAACTTTATGAAGTTAACTTATGCTGTACTTGAAATGGTATCAAAACCATAGACAGGCTCTCCATAAACTTTTTATTACTATCTACATTGCAGGAGAATATAGTTATTTAAGATTTGTTGTTCTTGTCCCGTTTCAGATGTGATCTTTCATAGAGATAGGTAACATTCTGCATAATTTATTCGTATCAGTCTGTCGGTCACCTTCTATTCAGATTTTAGCGGCCCAATAAACCCAAGATCAAAGACTTGAAAATAGATGCGATCCTTCCCTACTTAGGCGTACAAAAACAAACGGAAATTGCTACAAATTAAACCACTTACTATATCTGACGACAATCAATTGTACGGATTACTGTCTTTCGTTAATCACTAGCTCGTCTGCTCTACCTGGTTGATATGTGAATTTTACGACAGAAAAGTCTTTTATAAATCTCAGTCAATCCGTGAATAAAATGTGTCTTCGACAGATTTTGGTAAAACCAAAGTAGAGATCAATTGAATTGCTGTCCACAAGCCAAAATAAATAGTAATCAGAAAGGGCAATAGGATGAATATCGAGGATATATGGATGGATCTGCAGTTAAAGTATTTGAAGAAATTTCTTGATAGGCTAAATGACATATAGACGGACGTTAAGGTTGTTGCAAAATTAATTTATCGTATAGCTACGTTTGGCGCAATCACAATATTTCCCACTTACATCGTTCGTCATAGATTTTGATTGTTTGCGCATGATTCTGGAAGTCTGATTATTATACTGAATCAAGTATTCTATCTTGCGCTCAATATTTCATAGGCTAAAACAAATACTGTCATTAAATTTAGTTAAGATATTTAGCACGATCGTAAAATATTTATGTTTATCGAGTTGAACTTGCTTCCAAAATTGATCCAAAGCGAATATAATCGCGTCCGTTATTGCAAGTTATTCATTTTCCACGTTGCATACGACAATAGTAGATACACTATATGTTATTCTATCATATATATATTTAGATAAACAATTTTTTGTTAAAGCGAAACAAAATTGACTGATTTTGTTATCATATTTCGAATCTTTTTAACGCTCTACGGCTTATAAGATAAATAACAATTTGGAACCATAATCGTTTTCCTAAACAATTGCACGTAATATAATTTACACCGGAAAATACGATAAAATATAAATAAAATAAATATTGCATTATTCTCTCTTTCTCTCTCTCTCTCTCTCTCTCGATTTTATCGTCAACTAAAATACGTGTCGAATATCGAAACGAAAGTATTATTATTGAAAAGTAGGAGAGCGATTATATAACTGATAAAATTGCGATGGCGTTGCAAAATTGCAAGAATCGCATAAAAGCAATGCATCCCCAATAACTGTTTTGTTCACAATTGCTGCAATTCGTTTTAAAATAATCTTTATGTATAGGTGTCTATTAAAACGTATAAAAAAGTCTTAGTTAGCACAACAACTTCTTTAAAAAACAACAAAGAGGAAAAAAGAAGAAGCGAATGAGTCAGAACAGCGGTGAAAGCAATTAATTGATTATTATGCTAAATATTAAAGGGAATAAGAAATGAAATAAGAGAGGCTTACTTGCTTTATAACAAAAATAAAATTAAATAAAAATTAAATAAATTACCTTGAAATTATACTGACTTCTTAGGCACAAAACACACATATATATATATATATATATATATATATATATATAGAGTTTATTGACAAACATTAACAATAACGACATCAATCGCTTGCATTTTTGCTGCGCTTTAATCCGATTTATTCCCCAGTATTTATATCAATGGAAGTTGCCACTCCCTTTAGTTCACAATTTCCAGAATTATTTCCATTCCCTAATATCGAAGAATCGTCACCAGTTTCGCCATTGCGTTGGCACACTTCTTTACTAATTCTTTAATTTATTTATTTTTATGTATAAATGTGCATAACTTGCATGATAAGCGTAAGATTGCAACGTGGGTGGACTAATGTCTCTTTGCTTTTAGAAATTTTCAAATTTTTTCATTTTTATTCGTTATCAGTCGAGATCTGTTAAAGCCGCGCTAAGATTACCTGGTAAAGGAGCTTTTTTAGAGTTTTCGATCGTTTGGAAAGCGGAGAATTATCCATCAAAGGCCCCTAAATTACTTATATTCTTGAGTGTTGTGAACAGCGACAATGAGTTCACTTTCTCTTGATTGAAAGGATTGGCTCCAAGTTCATCTTTTCCCTTTCATTACGTTAAGCTATAAATCAGTAAATTTTTTTCCTACCTCCGTGGATAATAAGAACAAGCGGCTTTGCTTTCCCTTCCTCCCCGCCCCCTTTAACAACTCCTAAAGTTTGGCTTAAAACTTGACTCTATCTTAAATATTCTCCTCGCGCATGAATTGAATATTAACTAAGTTCATGCAATCGTCTATAAGTAGCATCTATAAGGTGCAACATCATTTCAGGTATCCTATATTGTATTAAATATTAAGAAAATTTCATTTTACTCAATGACGTAGTGACGTTAGATTTTGCATGCTCTCGGTAAATAGAGTTAATAGGTGCTTTTGCATGTATTCTAATCATTTTTTTTACTTGAAAAAGGCATTTATTGAGATATATTGGCAGCAAACATGTTACTCATAATAATTTCCATCATTTTCTACAACTTTTTCCCATCTTTTTGGCAACAAGGCGATGTCTCTTCGAAAGAATGATATTTTTTGCACTTTCTCAGCATTTCGCGAACGCGTGCCAGCTAACCTATGCTGCACTGATCTGAACAGATGGTAATCGGAAGGCGTTATGTGTGGTGAGTATGCTGGCTGCAGCAAAACTTCCCATCCGAGGCAGTGTATGCGTGACAACTTTGCGTCTATTAACCGCTACTGGTGGTCTTTTTTGCTACAATAAATCGTTCGATTTGTTCAATTGACGTCGATAGACATCAGCAGTAACAGTTTAATTTAGTTTTAGTAGCTCGTAATAGACTACACCTGCTGCTGGTGCGACCATATGCACAACAAAGCTTTACGGCCCTGAATACGCGGCTTCGGTGGCGTTAGGAATGGTTCTGCTCGACTAACCCATGACTTTTTGTGCTTGGAATTGCGATGATAGACACCTTTCTTGTAAGTACGATGTTGAAACCGTTCGAAATGACATTTTCGGTCGGTTGGTGTGATAGCAATTTTCGTTCTATTTGCATGTTTCATATCGCAAGTAAACATCTCGGAACAATTGATTCAACTCATCAACTGCTACGCTATTCGAATGTTTCTTGCAAGTTTGAGCTGAGTTTACGTCCAATAATTCTTGGAATTTATTGTCTTCG